AGTGCATGTCAATGGCCATAGTTATCCTGCCACTAAAAACAGTAAATGTGCTTCTTTCATTAAATAAGCTATGAAATAATTTAAATAGCAAATACCTTGATGAAACTTCGGGTGTCTTGATGGTACCATAGGAAATCTCTTCGCGGTTTATTTTTGCTAGCCATAATCCGTCTTTTTTTTTCGACAATTCCCTAGTTTGAGCTCCTGATGAGTAATTTCCAGAGGAACAGTGAAGAAACGATTCGTTTTATCCCTTTATATAATAACCAAATACACAACAAAACCTGCCCATGCTTCTCCGATGCTACTGAAGTCAATGACATAGCGTGCCCGTTGTCATGGCGGCGTAGGTACCGTTGCTAAAGGGGTCACGTGACGGTGCAAAGCCTCTATTCACATGCACTAGTCTAGCACCAGAGACCTCTGCAAATACAAGGACTGGATGGAATATTTAAAAAAGTGTCTCCATACGTCTCCAAAAGTTTGGCTCACTAGGAAATGAGGTCCTATGTCCAAAATTCGGGACTGTCCCTTTAAAATGCCTATGTTTTGTCTGATTGCCTTGTATTTTTAAATGTACCCTTTGTAAATGTATTCTTTGTACAGCGTCGAGTGTTTAGAAAAGCGCTATATAAATAAGATGCATTATTATTATTATAAATGAAGACCATAGATTTTATAGACCACACATAAAAATGTATTTATTTAGTGTATTAACAAACTGTATTATACATTTTATAGACAGTGTTTTTGTAACTTTTTCTCTCACAAACGACAGGATTATAAAAATAAAAGCACATGTAACGTGTAACGTGATCATGGTCGTACTCGCGTTTCAGCCGTGGTACAATATTTCATTAGAGTATTTTTATTTATTACAAAAATGTATAATACGTATTTAAAAAGAGAGCTATTACTGTCGAAGCGAGTGTCCCTTATAATCACCCATGTTCAAGGTGTAGGGGCACTGAATTAGCAATGGCGTTTCTGCATCTAGAAAGAAACCGCTACGAAAAAAAGCAACTTAAACATGCTAATGCTAATGCCAACGATGATTCTGGAAGTTGCGTATAGTTTTTCTGCGAAGCCGGGGTGAGCCAGAGTTGTGCAATCTACATATGGCAGCGCATGGGCGAAAGAGTGACGTTATTTTTTGAAGAGAAAAAACGAAATCAAATAAAAAAAATGAGGCAAGTTTGGTGAGACCCTTCGTAATTTTACAACGTTGTACAAATCCGTACGAAAACTTGACATGGGATTCTCAAACGCACTCAAGGTCCACGTCATTGAAACTGTTCATAAAATGCCTCTAGTGCAGCCGAAAATACAAACCATTCACATTAAAAGAAATCCAACAGATCCTTTAAAATGTTGTTCAAAATTCTGTAATGGAGGCAACTGGAGGCAAAATGAAGTAAATCATAACACATTTTGTCTGAAAAAACCTGACATCCGATCTAAATTGTAATGGTTTATAACAAAAAATAAGCAACAGTGTCTTTTTGTCCTATTACAAAGGATTGAAAAATGCTCTTTTCTAGTTTCTTGATTGTGTTTTGAGCTTCACAAAAAGTATAATTTGTGATAAATGAAAAGTCTGTTGTGGGGCTCACTGTTTCTGTAAAAACACAATTTAGACAAACCCTTACTGTCGATTATAATGTAGTCTTAAAATGTGTTAAATAACCATAGACTGTATAAAGAATTAGACTAAGGGAGTGTGCGTTTGTCTCCAACCAAATGAAGCTCATCGAGGCTAGCGGTTATAAGCCTGATTCATCAGCCGGTTTCACTTCGTGGTAACCATCTGACCTCGCAGCATTTGGATTCGTTCGCTTGACGGTAGGCATGTACTTTCTTTTTATTTCACCAATCGCTGCTGTTTGGTCGTGACGTATGTAATGCGCCGTAACGCTCAGTGGTGTCCAAGTAATTGCCGGCACAACAGCAAACAAAGCAGAGAGTGAAAATTCTCAATCTCGAGAATTGATGCCAACACAGAATGTCTGTCTTCATCTACATCCATCTCGACGCTTTGTTTACTGTTGTGCTGCACCACAAAAGGGACACAGACAGGCGCTTGAGTTTGACGTTATGGCTTCACAGTTCTTCTCTGATTGGTCAATGCGCGGTTACAACTTCCAGGGTTCTTTAAACCGTCTAGTGTATTTTGATTCCTGACCTAGTCGCTGTAGAGAAATGAAATTGAGCAGAGGCACTAGGTGGCGCCAGCCTGGTTAAGAGGTTGTAGGAGTAACTGAGAATGAGTTACAAATTAGGAATTCTCTTGTATCATAGCAAAAGTCAGTTTAGATCAGGCATGTCCAAACTATGGCCCGGGGGCCAAATGTGGCCCTCAGACAAATTTTTCTTGGCCCTCAGACTTCCAGGTGAATTGGCCCAAATTACCTTGCATCAATTAAAAAATATTTTTTTACTGCAAGTTTTTTGAAAATCTACCTTGATAAAGCTAATATTAATATTTATTGTGTGGTTTTAAGGATCTTAGCATGAATAAAGACTGATGGCTCATTCTAACGTGTTAAACATGCACATATTTCAATTATTCCCTGTACTGAGCATCAGTCTACATCCCTCGATCGGCTCTCTGCTTCATCTGTGTTTAGATATGTGGCCCTTGATGAAAAAAGTTTGGACACCCCTGGTTTAGAGAGAGGCCGTTGAAGGCGCCTGATTAGTCTGTTATTAATGTTCATATCTTGATTTTCATATAACATAGTGAAATAAAAACCCCAGGATCATGTGGAGCGGGTTAAAAGGAACATTTTAAGATCAAAATGAGTGATGTATTTTTCAACAGAAAGTGAACTGGAGTCGATTGAGCCGGAAGAACCCCCATGCTCACTTTCTATATGGCTCTCTATGTTCTTTTATATAGACAGTCTATGCTTTAGGCTCTGATCTCTCTAACATATATCCGAGTTGTTATCATTTGCTAAAACAATATTAATTTTACATATTTAGTGACGTTCTGTGGCTAATCCAAGTTTCTCCATTGAAATCGCATTATGTTCCACTTCACTTTTGCCTCCAGTTGCCTCTTTACACAATTTAGAATGTTTCGTTTACATCACGTTAAAGAGCCTATAAATACTGTCCCACTTTGTCAACGTATTCTAAATTGGTGCATGTTAATTAACCTTTAGAAGAGGATTTGTCCAGTAAAAGTTAATTATTACGGTGGATGGTAAGTAAAAGTGTAACAACATGTAGACCTAGTTTCATTTGTGCAGGTTTAAGTGTTAGTATTTTGGTTGTCTGTCTTGAGATCTCAAAAATGCCCTTACTGCTTGACAACAGCTGGTCTAGTCCTGTATTTCAAGTCCTAGCTGCTCTTCTATGTTTTTAAAATCCATAAACTTTCATATGAATACATTTAGTTCATTTCAACCTTCACTTTGTTTTCACTAATCCAACTTCCGAGCAAGCCGCAGTTTTTGTTCGACTGATTCAAATGTGTTTTCAATATGTAGTTGAAGCTCTGTCTGCTAATAGTTTTCATTTAATTACACACATTCAAATACAGATACAACATTAATTCATCACATTTAACCAAGTCAAATTACAATAGTTTCAAATATCCAAAGCTATAGGGTTTTTATTTACTCTAAAGGTGCATTGTGTAACTGTTTTAGTGGAGGGTCCCTCAAATATTTTTCTCCATGGAGATGTTATTGCTTTGTCTGGAATCTTTCACAGTATGATATTAAGGATTTCTGTCTTCAGATCTGTTGAGAGGCAGCCCAGCTCACAGCAGAATCCTGCATGGGTCCATTTTTGGAGGCCCGCACCCGCGCAGTACAGCACCACACCCGCCCGTTAACCTGTGATTATATCAAAATTATATCCGCACCAGCCCGGACTCGTTAACATTCCACCCGTTACTCGCCTGTGCCCGTGATAAATCTGGGTCAGCACATTAGTCCGACAGCCCAGGACTGAACCTACGTCGTGTCATTAGCGGATTATAAATATATTCACACCACTTCTGCAGAGCCGATCATCAGGACTGCACCAGGACTGCACCAGGACTGCACCAGGACTGCACCAGGACTGCACCAGGACTGGACCAGGACTACACCAGGACTACACCAGGCCTAAAGCAGGACTTTACCAGGTCTAAAGCAGGTCTAAAGCAGGTCTAAACCAGGACTAAACCAGCAGTGCAGTGGCCGAGCCGATCACCTCTGCTGATGGGTTTTATGCAAGAAATACACTAAAGTCTCTCTCAACGTGGTCTGCCATCGTTTCAGGAAAAGACTGAGAAATGACACTTGTTTCCAGGGCAACGGAAGTCCTCCCGTTTGTCGTTCATTTAACTCACCTGAACCGCCCGTGTGTAATCACTACCCGCATACCTGCCAATAAACTTCCAGAACATTAAAATTCGCCTGTTTCAACAACTACCCAACCTGGTGCAGGACTTTGTCTCACAGTAAATCTTTCTAGGTATTTTTCAGTTATAAAACCATCTGTAATTGCATAAAGGTTGAGCTGTTTAATGTCATACTGTGGAACCTTCAAGGCAGGGCAATGACAAATCCATAAAAACAAGCAGGCAACAGACCTCAGACCAAAAACGTCACACTGTGCACCTTTTAATAATAATAATAAAAAAATTTAAAAAAAAGAATGATAATGTGATAATGTTTTTCCCTAGAAAAATTGTGTTTCTATTAAAAACAAAACAAAAAAGCCATTCTTTGTATTAAGGAAAAGGTTTAAATAATACTTCTAGACATGTAATAAACAGAAGTCAGTGGGAAGTTGCTTGTGGCTTATGTAAAGATGTTTTCATTAGGCTTTTTGTTCCACTAAATCTCGTGCTTTGTATTGGACAAAATGGGACAGTATTGCCTTGATATACCATTAGCACTCTATAATATTCCATCCAATTAAACCACTTTAAAACCGCTCCCTTCTCTCAGGCTTATGTGATCGCCGCACCATCTGTTTACCGTCCGCGCTCCATCCGCTGATTAGCTACATAATTTGGTTGTTTCGTATTCAATGGAGTTGGGCTGTTTGGCACTGAAAGTCTGCAGCGCCGCTTGGATCCGCGCGACATCTGTGGTGGAAAGTTTCAGTCTGTGCCGCAAAAGACACGAAAAAAGGTCCAAGGTTTGCGAGCCGGGCGGCGACAGACGGTTCACCCGGTCGCGGATTTCCAAAAGTTGCAAAAGTGCGGAGTCCTGAGATCCCTGAGTGTACGGGTAGTCCAACTGCAAAATCAAATCTTGTATCGCCTCCGGATCGAAATGCATACTGTAGCCGTAGACTTGGATGCTGTTGATTTTCATATATCCGAGATTGCGACCCGGTTCGATGTACTCCAACGGTTCGTAGTATATTGTCCCGTTACCGTTGGGCGATGGTCCCTTGACGCGACTTCGAAGGTAAAAATGCACGGTTTCAAAAAAGGTTTTCCACTTATTTCCTAAAGTCAAAGTCCAGTTGTAACAATCGTACGGAAGGTCTAATTTAGTCCTCTCCCAAGTCGGATAGTCCGGCGTTTGGTCGATCGGCATGATCCAGCTTTCCGAATGGCTCCCTCCGAACGGATTTATGTACACGGACATGACGGGATCCAGCGTCGTGTTCTTCGTAAGGCAAACTTGCAAAGACATCCCCAAAAGCATGTGCACGTGATTCGATTTGTACTTGTTGCTTTTCAGCGTCAGTAACATCCTCTTTCGCCACGACGGATCGAACCAGTTGTTCAGCCGCACGTCGTTGCTTACAAAAATCCCGTGGATGCTGATGCGGTTGTCCCGTTTCTGAAGCAAGAAGCGCATCTCCATGTCTTGCAGGTCCGTCTCGAATCCGATGTAGTGGTCGGTGGAGTCCGGGACCTCGTTTCGGCAGACCCCCTGGCTGAGCATGTAGCCCTGGTTGCAGGAGGCGCATCGGGAGCGGTTTTCGTAGGAGCAGGAGGCGCAGGCGGTGCCCTCCCCCACGGTGCAGGGGATGATGCCTTGGCAGGGCGGGTGTTCGTACGGGCAGGAGCAGGACTTGGTCTCCTCCAGGTAAGAGCCGATGTGGTTGTTCTCGCTGCAGTACATGATGGAGAGGATGTAGTGGAGCCAGTAGCTGAAGGGTCTGGAAGAGAGAAGACAGAAAGAGGTGGGGTTAGGACATACACTACCAGTCAAAAGTTTTAGAACATCTTAATTTTTCCAGTTATTTATTGCAATTCAAGTCGTGCAAGTCCAATGAAGAGCTTGAAATGGTACAAAGGTAAGAACTGAACAGCCAGAGGTTAAAAAAAGATAAAAGATAACAAAACACAAGTCCAAACTCTGCCAAAACTACCTCAGGAAAAAAGAACAAGATGATAAACTTGAAAACATGGAGTGTCCAGCACAGTCTCCAGAACTTCAAGCTGGGGGGGATTCATTCAGCCTCACATTTTACTATGTGTGGGCAGGTTGTGTGTGTGTGTGTGTGTGTGGGGGGGGGGTTTGCTGTTTGGGTGTCTGTGATGTTTGGTTGTGTCGAGTCGGGCAGCTGTGGGGGTTCATTTTTGTATGAAAAGTGCTTTATAAATAAAGTTTGATTGATTGATTGAACTGGACAGAAGAGTGAAGCAACCTACAAGTGCCACACATTTATGGGAACTTCTGCAACAGACTTGGGAAGAACTTTCTGAAGAATATTTTATTTTTATTGTAAAAAGAACGAGCCACGAGTGTGTTCAACTGTTATATCTAAGGTGGACACTTTCATCAATCAAAAGTTTAGTTTGGTTAACAGTAAACAGTAAAAAAAATGGAAAAAGTGTGGTGTTCTAAAACTTTTGACAGATAGTGTATTTTTTATTTTATTCATAGTATTTCTACTTCAATGTTCATTCTTCTTTAATATTTGGAATTTTTCTTGACTATTACAGCTACTGTTTTTGTGCTTTTCTGTTGCAACTCAAGACTTTCCCGATAGCCGAAAAAAAAAAAAAAAGGTTTTCCATTAGTAAATTAAGTGAAATAAGTGAAAGTATGACTCAACTCGGTTTCAAAGTGGTTGACTTTCTCCTTCCTGGTTGAATTTAATTACATTTCTGGAATTTCACTTTATTATTTATTCATTAATCCTTTAAAGATCTACATATTTTTTGCAAAACAATTTCCTGAGGTCAACTGGATTTAGTTTTGTTTTTTTTTATTCTCAAATTGTCATCCAGTTGACCTCTGAATACTGATTTGAGTATTGTCGTACCTAGATGAGTGAAAAATGAAGTTGCAGCTCCATATTTCAAAAGAATAACCTTTCGCTGAAACATTAGCAATGTCTGTATCCTATAGTTCTGTGATACAAAAGTCAGAACAGTGTAAAGAAGTTGAACTATGACTTCAGAACTTTGACATTTTCTCCAAAACAGTTTTCAACCTCACAGTTCTGGGCCACAAATGTCAACGTGGCATTCCAAACATTTCAAAAAAGTGAGTATTGCAAACAAATGAAAAATACACCCACTGCGTACACGAGGCAGAAACCAAAGCAAAAACAAGAATGTGAAAGATCTGATGAATGTCACATATTTCTTGAAGAGTAACACATTTGTCAAACCGTCAGACTTTTGTTGTTGTTGTTTTGTATAGTTTTTACACAATCACAGTGACGCTAAATGCTTCTGTTCAAAAGCTTCCAGGGTTAAGTTCCGCAATTCGCAGTTTTTTCATTCAAAACAATTGTCTTCTTGAAAACACTGAGCTATAATCTTCACATCCTTCTAACCATCTATTCACTCTTCCTCCTCTGTACCACAGGGTCTCCAACCTGTGGTTCGGGAGCTACCAGTCGCTCTTCACCCCCTTCTAAGTAGCTCGCCAAGGGAATTCTGAATCATGCGTATTGTGCTGAATAACTAAAATTTTATAGTATTAGTATTGACTCCATGTATCATTTGTTTTTCAATATAAAACCAAAAATAAGACAACGAAAAAACAACAGGTTTTCTCCATTATTTGTCTCCAAAACCAAAATGAAAAAAACAGATGATTACTTTTTTTCAATTTTCGGTTTTCGGTTGACAACGCAGCTTATATTCTTTGAAAACCGCCGCACTTTCTTTACATATCAGACAAACTGCCCAGTCTTTACACTGAACAAAAAAATAATCAGTCGTCCACTGTTCTTTGAACAACTTGGCACTCTCTGTCAACTTTTTTCGTACTTTAACACTCGCCGTTTTGCCATCGTTAACTGCACGACAGAACTGTGCGCGAGTGTTGACTGTCACTGTTTGATCTTGAGCTTGTCAAGTGACGAAAATTCAACGGCAAATGTAAATATGTCATATAATAATTTAAATGTAAATACTTAATGTAAATATAATTCTTTTAATTGAAAAAAAATCAAGAAAATACAAGATGCTGTGACAAAGTGAGCCTTTGTCTCATTTTAAACTCATGTTTCTTTATGTTAAACATTTTTATTTTGAAAGGTGTCTTGCTTTGCCTTGGGAGTTACCTGGATACTCACCTGGGGGGAGGTACTTCCTGCTGGGCGGGGTATAAAAGCAAAGCAGATGTCATCATTTGGGGAGAGACTTCTGTGCAGGTTGTTTGGAGTTTGCTGATTTGAGTCACTTATTTTCAGTTTTTTGTACTTTATTTGAGCCTACACTGGAAGTCTGTTTTAAAATACATTTTGTCTGGGTGAAGACACTTTTTTTATTGCATCTGGCTCCACTTTGACCTCTTTGGCCAACTTCCCCCACAAATACAGACAGTGTTGGGGAGTAACTGATTACATGCACTGGAGTTATGTAATCAGAGTACAAATTATGAGTAACTGTATTCAGTTACAGTTACTGTTTCAATGAGTGGTAATTGGATTACAGTTACTTCGTTGAAATAAATGGATTACATGGAGGTATTTTCCTGTTTTCACATTTCGGGCTAAATCCCCAGGTCTAAACCAGATCTAAAACCAGATCTAAACCAGATCTAAATCAGGTCTTAAACCAGGTCTAAACTAGATTTAAACCAGGATTAAACCAGGACTAAACCAGGATTTAACAGGACTAAATGATGCTGGGCAGACGTGTCTCCTCCTCCTCTATCAATAGAATTTTTAATTTGGTTAAGTAAAGTCTGGGCTTTTTATTTTCTTTTAGCAGACAAAACATCTTATGTTAAGATATCCTAGTCTTTGCTTCTCTACAGCAAATCAAGTAACCCAAAGTATTCAGATTACTCACATTAAGTAATTTAATGGATTAAGTTACAAACTACATTCTGGGGTCTGTAATCTGTAATCTGTAGGGGAATACATTTTAAAAGTCACCTTCCCAACACTGGATACAGATGTGTTATTATTTGCTAAATAGTCATTTAAAAAAATAGGCCAAGTTTTGAAGATTGCATCATAGGGCCAGTTCAAGTGGTGGGGGGCAGAGGGGCTTGGGGGCCGGGCAAAGGGGAATGGAGAGCCAGAGTCAGCCCGCGAGCCTTAGTTTGATGACCCCTGCCATACCGTGAAACAATCCAGACAAAGCAATAACCACTAGAGAGATCCATGGAGAAAAACATTTGTTGAACCCTCCACCAGAAAAGTTACACAATCCGCCTTTAACATCTGTACCGTTCCAAATAAACAAAAACAGAAACAAACATAAAACGCTCTTAACTGTATTCGCTCACAATTTAGCTTAACATGAACAGAAAAAGGCATGACCAATGAGACGTATCTCTAAATGAGACAAAAGACACACACCCAAAATCACAAACTTCTCAAATCAAGATCAAGCATTTTAAATCCAGGTATTTCAAATGTAAAAATATGTATTGTGTTTGCACTGTACATTTAAATGCTTTTGCACATCAATTCTGTTTTGCATGTCCACTCGGTCGAAGCCTCCCCTCTCTACGGCCTTCCACAGACCTGCTGCACACAATATATTCCACTCTCTCACACACTGAATAAGCAATAGACCCGGCCGCCTCATTTATTCAGCTCTAACTATAAATCAAAATTCCAGAGATGCTGAGGCTTTAGCATATGGGCACCGCGTCCAGAATTGAACTCCGAGAATCACCGCGCGCTTTGTTTGCGCCCACGTCTGCCATCTCTGGAACAGGCTCACCCGCTTAGCCGCATTAGCAGTCGGCAGACATATGCAGATGCTAAACTCATTTGGAAAGAACAAGGCAAGCCCAAATTCCTCCTCATATTTTCAGAAGGCGAAAATAACATTTGTTCACACTGATTGCACTGTGTTGTGTTAATATATTTTAAAGGTCCTGTATTACTTTTTTCCCCATGTATCTGAGCAAAACGTGTCTTGCCCCAGTACAGCTAGATTGTATAAGCAGCTCTTGAGGTTAAAGTAAGTCTTCTGCGTGTTGAATCTACCATATTTTTCGGACTATAAGGCGCCTGTAAAATCCTTAAATTTTCTCAAAAATCGACATTGGCGCTCTGGATTATAAGACGCACTATCATTAAATTGTCTATTTTCAAACTTTTTTCACAAATAAACTGCACCGGACTTTAAATGAAACGCAAAAGTTGGACGGGTCAGTCGGACTTTGTTTGGCGCGTTCACGGTGACTCTGGGCTTTGTTCAGTTGTGGCGTGTAGGGAGGGTGCTGTCTGGGACCGCTGGATTGTCGGCGTGTTCGCAGTGACTCAGTTCAGTTGTGTCTAGAAGCGGCACATTGCACTCGCTTTTTCGGTTCGTTCCTTTGTTCCATCCCTCGTCGGCATGGAATAATGAGTGTGGCTGCGGGTGTTTTTCGCTGCGCGGTTGCTGTCTGCTCCGTGTGTGTTTGCGTGCGCTGCGGGTGGTGCGGCTTTGTAGTTTACTGAAGTCGTACTGGGACACCCGAGTGAATTCGTGTATAGGGCGTTCTGGATTGCGGGGCGCGCGGCTGTTTTTTGATGGGGTTAGAGGCTTAAGAGCGCGCCTAATAGCCCGGAAAATACGATAATTCTGATTGTGCTTACTGACCACGAACTGATTTAATGCGGTACATGGCGCTCAAAAATCTGTCAAAATGTTTTAGTACGACTTTGGTAAGCTACGAAGCCGCACCTCTTGATGGATTTTTGAAGCATTTCAGCTACCGTAGTCAGGAGCCTCACAGAGTAAAGTCCAA